ACGGAGACCCATAAGCTGATTGACAACCTCGCTCTCCACCTCGGCCGCCTTAGTCGCTTCCAAATAACCTTGGCGGTGAAAGTCGCGCAAGATCTCGGTCGCATCTGCCAGACCACCCGACTTGAGGAACGTCGGCGGCAGTGATGTGTTGTTCATGATGTTCGAGGCGGACATGAAGAGTTTCGAGCGTGTTTCGTACGACTTCTGCACTTCCTTGAAGAAGACGATAAGATCTTTGAGGATTTTGCGCCACGCTGTCGCATATTAGCATGTTGCCTCCTGGATCGTTCTACTGGATATGAGGGGTTCTTACATTGGAAGCGGTTAGCCAGTACCTCGGTCGGGCTTCCATCCGTTGGAACAGGAATATAGAATGCGCTGTTCGGATCTTCGCCATCGATGCCGTATTTCTCTCTATCGCCCAGGACGAGGCTTCGTACGCTACCCGCCCGCAGGCTTCTCTTGCTACCACTGCGACGCATGCTACCTCTCTTACTGAGGGAGGCCTTCTTTCTCAAAGTGCCGGATCTGGTCGGGGTTGCGGATCGAGATTGGGACATCTGTGAAGCCGAGCGTTGCATGCCGGCGCTCGACGGACCGTCCACAATAACGGAGCCGCGCTGGCTGGCAGCGTCGAACTCCTCGTGGAAGCGACCGGTGTGAGGGTGAGAGGTGGGGTCGGCGGCGTGGGTGACGTTATTGTAGCCGGAAGTACTGGCGATAATGGAGTTGGGTCGGGAACTGGAGCGCGCGCCGTATGCTCCGCGGTTTAGTAGAGAATCAGGATGCTGAGGTAGGGTGCCATAGGGGTCCTGCACCGGCGTTTGCGACCTAACGGCCATAGCCATGACTGGGCAGGAAAGGAAGGCGAGGAGAGGAGGAAAGAGAAGAGAGGGAGGAGGAGGGTGGACGAGTGGCGGTAGTCGTCGTGTCGCGAGTAAGAGTGCGGTAGTTTAGTGGAGTGGTGGTGGTGGTGGTGACGGGCAATGCAAGTCAGCGCAATCGGGCGGTGCAAGGCAGTCCAGGCCCGTGTGTCGATATCAATTCGGTCCGTCGTTGGAAAAAAAGGTCCGTTGCCGAATGCGGGCCGCGATCAGAGTTATAAGGGCGTCCAGAGTAACAATATATCATGAAATGCGAAGTGTTGAAGAAAGAAATGAGAATAGGGAGGACAGGAGTCGTAGGAGGAAGAGTAGGAGGGAAAGAGAGAGAGAGAGAGGGAGAGAGAGAGAGAGAAAAGGAGAGTCAATCTAAAAAGAACCAGCCAAATTGATCGGATCTAGTAGAGTCGTAGAAGGAGCAGGTAGTAGTAATAGTGTAGTATGGCTGGTTAATCGGAGGTGGTATTGGCTGGTTACCGGGGCGAACGACCTAAAGGGTCTCTCATTCAACTAGCAGAATGACTTTCACAGATAATACCCCTTCGGTCAAAAAAGAAGAGAGGCTAGAAGAATAGAAAATCATTCCACAGTCGATCAGGACGCGACGTTCGGGGGGAGATTGGGTCTCCACTGAGGGAGAAACTAGTTCGTATAGGATCGATGGGGGGTGGAAATGGAAAATGGAAAATGGGAAATGGGAAATGGGAAATTGGAACTGGGCTGGGCCCGGAGTAGTCGTAGTCTAGTAGTAACGTTACTAGTAAGTAGAACGGAAATAAGGAGACTCTCCAATTCAAGTAGTGACAGGAGACAATCTCTCAATCTGTGCAATCCAGATCGCCGTCAATGTTTCAGGAACAGTTGAAAGAAGGAGGAAAGTGTAGAAGAGTATAGGTAGGAGGTATAATGTAGAGAGTAAAGTGTAGTAGAGTTGTAGAGTTGTAGAGTTGTAGAGTTGTAGAGTTGTAGAATTGTAGATAACTCGAAAGTTACACAGTTCCCTTTCTTAGCCTCTGAAGGTTTAAAGGGGGGAAGTGGTTATATCCAGTGCCGGTTCGGATGACGTCTACCCCAGCCAAACGAACCAGATGGTAACTGCGACGTTATGACGCTTGGGACGGAATCCCCGGTCCCGACCTCTGAATTTTTCTTTTTTTTTCTTCTTCTTTACTCCATACTTTTCTTCACTTGACTTTCTTTATCTCTTCTCTGACCATACACCTTGTTTTTAGAGTTCTGTTTGCTGAGGAGGGGAGGAGAAAGGAGGGTGGCCAGAAAGTACGAGAAGAACCATTCAAGTATACTATACCTATGCAGCTACCGTACTACTATGCATACACATGTACTCCGTAGTCTCAATGGGTCTGGGCAACATGCACTATGGTCCGTTCCCCTTTTCCATTGGATTTATAAATATAGTCTCATAATCCAGACTCTCCAAAGATAAATTAAAATCTATAGAAACTCACCAATCTCAAACTGGAGTACAATAGAACACAGAACATAGCCTACCCAAAGGATGATCATCATCCCACGGTCAGATTCGATACAAACAATACACACTGCATGTAGGTACTAGGTACAAGGTACAGTTAGTAGGCCCATCGTCATTCTCATGACTATGGCGCCACCCAATAATCATGGAAAGAGAAAAGGGAAAGCCCACAATCCTTGCCGCTGATGCTATCTGCTGCTGCTACTATGGAGTATGGTTGTTCAGGTTGTGGTTGCTGCCTGCCCTCACTGCCCGAAGCATGATCTAAGTCTTTTACAGTACGTACATGAATCTCATGCATGGAACGTGGCTGGTGCCATGCATAACTAAGCATCACCCTTACCTTACGTAAGTCGGATTGTGGCTAGGGAGTTGGTCCCCACAGCTCTCGTTTTGCCTTCTCGGGCAGTGGCCGGGGCGGGGGGGGTTTGTCCGTCCAGCCAATCTACGGATAGTTTGATGCTGTATCTGCGCAATACTTCCTTATGCCTTTGATGGGAACACCCCTTTTCCAATCCCCTTCCTCCCCCCCCCTCCCCACCCCCTCTCCCTCTCTTGTTGCCGAACAGGTGGCAATTCTAATCAAACTCAGATGCACACAGGAGAAAAGGAGACTCCCGGGCGGATCTTCGGGAATGGATCCCTCTACACTCTCAGCTTCTTTTCTGGTCTTTCCCATTCGGGTATCGGCGAGGCAGCATTCCCAAGATTCCTATCGATCCTCGACGTCATGCACGGTTCATCCACTCCATGTCGATCCGGATGGATGCACCACTACGAGGTACACGAATGTGAACCACTGACACAGTATGTGAGGTCGAACCACCGATCCTGAGGTCAATCTCTTGCTGTTTCTCTCATCGATCGCGAAGCATCCAGCCCAATTCCACATACCAAAGGTCTGATGGCTCGCTGCTCGCTTCTCGCTTCTGCAACAACACTCCACATGACACCTTTTTCTCTCTGCAATGCACGCACCCTTGACGTAGCCCTGTCATCCACTTACCTTCCCTCCGGAATGAAACCAGTTAGCGCACGAACATCAGTTCCTCTTTCCTTGTAATTCAGAGAAGACATCTACAATTGCAATGACTTCACATGCACATCCGAAGGCGAGTCGATTCGCCGTCCTGGTTGATCAAGAGGAACAGAAGTACCGGTACTGTTGACGAGGAGGGGAGGAGGAAGAGGGGTCACCCCCGACGATGTGATATCATAAGTTCCCCTGCATAGATTATCATGCATCCCTTGACTCTGTGTCAATACGGAGTAGACAGCTGGGCGACCCATCAGCCTGGGTGAGAGTTTCATCCGGTGAACCTCGGAGAACGGCTGGTTCCCTTGCCTTTCTAGAAGCCCGAGAAGAAGGGAGGGATGGAGGGTTGCACTATGCGCGGTGCTTATCTGACCTGAGTGCGAAGTTAGTTGCCAATCTGCAGGCCTAATGTGAGGTAGCCTGATGGGAAGGCGAAGCTGTACTACCAAGGCGAAATACTTCTGCCTGGACATGCATAGCAGCGGAGATGATACTAAGGTGCAAGTGAAGCCTGTCTGAACGCACTTGATCAGATACAGAGCATTTGCGAACATACAAAACCACTCTCCCCTTCGGATTTAGCAATATTGCTCCCACGAAACGAGGTTCAGGTAGAGTGAGGTACTCAGTAGTAAACTCATCTGATCTAAGACACTAATCCCCGATCTAATGCTTGTTGCAGATGCCCGCAATTATGCGGAGAATAATCCCGCTCGCCTCCCACTGTCCTGCTCCTGCTCCTGCCACTGCCACTGCCACTGCCCTCCACTTCCTGCACCACATCCGTTAATGGATATAATAAGCTGGTCTTGGGGTCCGGAGACCTGGTTTGTCTATCCATTCACCCTGATGATTACTATTTCACAGTTGCTCTTCGCACGTCTCAGCTGGTGGCGACCGGACAGGCCACCTCAGGACTTTTGCCAGGGTGATGTAGCGCTCAGAAGCGAGTGGAGTTGACCTCTGTGGAGTCTTCATCTTCTGCTCCAGCTTGGATTCTTCCGTCCTCAATAAGTAGCAATTCAGTTCTACTAAGTTAGGTAGGTACGAACACCGTTAGCGTATAGTTCACGCCAAGCCCATATGTAAATGCACTTGAGCAAAGCACTCTGCAGCATCGCGATTCTGAGCAATGTCAGAGCAGAAAGGGCGCTTGAATATATTTTGTCTTTTGAGTGTCCTTGACTTACGATATATGCATGAAGCACATGTATCTTCTCTGTTGTATTAGTAGTTGGATGGTACCTTACCTGTAGAGTCTTGTACTTACAGAGACTCTCTGCTGCTTTGATAAGCTGACCGTGTGATTGGCCGGCACCCCTCCAGTGGTAATTTAAGAAATGCGGAGGTAGACATAATGCTTCGGTATGGCAATAGGAATGCCTGCAATTTCGAGACAGACTTCCTAGTGATCGAATAGCTAGCAATTGAACCATTCAAAATAAAAACGACGACCGATGGGTTTAAATTCGAAGCAGGGGCTATTGTTCTCTGCATCGCTGGAGAGATCGCGCGGCATGCTGAACCTCTGGCTCTTGCATGTATCATTTACTTCACTTATTCCGTGACGACCTTCCTTATCTTCAATGCAAGCCTCATACGTAGATATAATCCGCATTATGCGATTACTTGCGCTGAAATACCCGTTCTCCCAGCAAAGTTCAAAACACGAGTAAGAAAAAAGGTGCATTCGTGGGGACGTGCCAAATCTGCTAGCTGAACGGCATCTGGGTAACGCAATAATTTTACACAAAAGAATATATCGGAAATGGGGGAGAGGGAAGACTGCGCAAAGAGGAAAAATTCAATGAAACCATTTCTATGATGCAGGAACCTCGATACCGTATGCCTCCTTGATTCTCTCCCGCCGTCTCTCAGCATATCCAGGGCCGTAGATACCTGTTCGGATACAACGTTAGCTTTTGGCGGCGTTCTGCATCAAGTGTCCGACGATGCCGTTCATCATTTGGGAGACCTACCTCGTCCCTCACCCAGCTGAGCAAGAGTCTCCTCCCCGGAGGTTCTGTATGCCGTTCTGATCCGCTCCCGACGCTCGAACTCGTCGACGTTGGGATCCCGCTTCTTACCGAAGAACGAACCACCGGTGTATTCGAAAGCGCCGAGAGTGACGGCCAGGCCAACACCATAGCCCAGGACTGCGGGGAAAGTGCGGACTATTCGGGACTCGTCAGCGGTAAATCCAATTGGGGGAGAGGGGCATGTGATTGACAGCATTCAAAGCAATTGTGCAGCACTGACCTTTAAGTCCCAGAATAGCACCGGAGAAAAAACCTCCCAGCGCGACGTTGTAGTGGTCTTCCTTTTGACGAAGGTTGGCGGAAGCGGTCTTCACGAACTCGTAGGTACCTCCCATCGCGGCTAGACATGCGGTGTCAGTAACGGAGTGACAATTGACCCGGATCATGCTCCAATGGCCAGTTGCCATGGGATATTCGTACCGAAAATGCCGATCGTGCCGCCAGTCCTCGTGAACACACCCCATGGTCCGACGTTCTTTCTAGTCAGGGTGTTCTGGACGGCGGAGGCGAAAAGACCCACTCCACCAGTGAGCATGGTGGTTTTCAAGGTGGCCTGGAGCGCATCCTTGGGGTGGTAATCGTGTTCGTCGGAGTGAGGGGCCATGGTGGCGGTGGGATATGAGGTGGGTGTATGATGGGCTGTGGCAGCTGGGCTTCAAGTGTCGTCGCCGGACGGGCGTGGATGAATTTGGAGACGTCAGAGTTTCTGCCATGTGACACCGCCTATCGCCGGGTTTCCTTGAGGAGCTTCCCATTGAGGGCAATCTGGTAGTAGATTTCCACGCCGGCTGTCGGTCGCTTGTTCTTCTAGAGTACTGACATATTTTGGTAATTCCTCTCTCCCTCTATCTCGCTCTAGTGGCTTAGATGATTCATTTTGAACTTCTCGGAAATCTGTTGTGCTTGAAGAAGGACAAGATACGACCCATCAAGCTTGCCGCCAGGCCGAGTGCGGGCCGCTCACCATTCCCCGCCGTTGCTACCACTGTCTGGAGTGCCTCGTGCCTCGTACTATATTTGCACGAATCTAGTTCATATTTTCTGCCGTTGTCCGAGTGGTTCATACATCTCATCACATCTCAAACCCAAGTTCTCTCTAGATGACTGAATGGGAGGTCTTTTCTTAGAGCTTTGCCGTTGCCTGCCACAACCCCTCGCGCTGCAGTAAGCTCCCAAGAGCGTATCCATGTCATCCACGCAGAGGTCAGGTACGTACATTCCCTCGAGCCGGATGCGCCCACACAATTCTAAAGTGTATGTGCGGCTAACACTTTGCTCTACAGGCAGGACTGCTCCCAGTCTCGTACGAGCTCTTTGCGACTACGATCCTGTCCACCCCCCAGCTTCTGGCCGTAACCTCCTCTCCCAAGCTCCGCCCGTCTTTCCTGATTACTATACTGGGCCACCGGAGTACATCTCTCCTGCCGCATGCCCTCATAACTATGTGATCAAGTCGAAGCAAACCCTTGTGCCAGAGCCGGAGAGGAGGAGTAGCGCCAACCCTCCCAAAGTATCTGCTATATGCCGCAAGTGCCGATACCATCTGCAACTCGTCGTGCACTCCACGCCTACAATCGGCCAACATAGCCAAAATTCGCCAAACCATTTGCATCACCTGGTATATAAGTCGACGGGGCAAGATGTGACACCGAAGGGACAGACTGTAGAGACGTATGAGTTCGAATGCTCCTACCTCACGTGTCCTACCGTGGTGTCGGTTCGACTGGTCTCCCCTGTACTCTCGCAAGGATTGGTACAGCTATTGACGGATCCTCAGCTCATTCAGCAGCGAGCAGAGGAGGCCTTTGCGGCAGAACCAGAACGTCTAGAAGGCCTCGGCGTGCCACAGCCGATCACTATTCTCGAGACCCTCGGCGCATACCTTAATAATTCTTTGAATGCAGCTGACAAGGGCAAATCTATCTCGGCCAACAACAAGAGATTTATAACTTCCTTTGGTCTCGATGGTGTGCCTTGCAAAGATTTGCTGGAATTCCTGGGATTCACTGTCAAGGTTCGTACATTGTGTCTGGCCCTACTCGACCACCATGCCTGACTATCGTATAGAATGAAGGATTCTGGGAACCCCCGCGGACCAGTCCATGGACGGAACATCCATACCGGGACCAGCTCAAGATTTTCCTCGACGATGTCTTGCACGAGCTCACCGCACTGATAGAGCAGCGACCTGTGATGGAAAGAAAGGGTCATCAGGTGGAGAACCAAAGCGATCCAGCCATATTTGACTTGCTTCGTGCATTGGATGCGGCTGACTGTAAGTAAGGTCCGCATCTGCTGAATGAGTTCCGACTAATCATCATGCCAGACCCTAATGCAAGCCGGTCGAAAGGATTCCAACTTGCTCCTGCACCGTGCGTTCACGCCGTATCTCACTTCGCTAGCACTTGCTAACGGGACTACAGTTATTATGAGGATCTGGGCACTGTTGACGATATGTCATCCGCTACAATCATTGAAGCTTTCCACCGGCAGGTTGCAGTCGACCCCGCACGGTCGCCTTTATACCTGAAATGCCTCAAAGAGATCGGACAGCTAAGGGGCGGTGACGATGCCGCTGTAATCGAACAAGCGGTCATTAAAGCATACGCCGAAGGCCGATTCACCGAGGACGATGTTGCCGATGCTTATGAATACTTCGGTTTGGCTCATGACAACCCTCGGCTCACGGAAGATAGTATCATTGGGACGTTCAACGCGTACCTGAGCTCCACAACCTCGGCCCAGGAAGCAGAGTCTCGCAGACAGATGCGCATAATAGGCGAGAGCAGACGTAGTGACCGCATCAAATCCGTGGCGGATGATAGTAAGATTTTAAGAGCGCGATCCAGGCGCTTTTTGATCGCGGCTAACCCATGTGCTAGGCGTATCGACTGTGGAACAGGCCCAGGACTATTTAGGTGTCACCAGTGAAACTGCCGACGACTTCATAATCTCCTTGTTCACTGCCAAGGTCGGCCCCCGTTGATTGTGGCCTCGGCGTTTCACGGGCTAATGTGTTTCATGTAGGTTGAGGATGCTCCGTCAAACAGAGATCTTGCGCGGCGAGCTCTTGAGCTTATTGCCGAGGCGCGGAAGTCCGATGCTTTGAAGCACTTTCTCAAGACTGGTGAGATGACGGCCAGTGAGATGGATATTGGGGATGCGTATCGTCTCTTGCGCATTGACAATCGCACTGTCGACGATGATTTGATCGAGGCGGCGTATACGTGCTGTGTGGTAGAAGACCCCAGCAAGGTGGAAATGTACAACCAGGCCTTGCAGATCATTGGGAAGCATAAAAACAGCAGCTTTCTGTCGAACAAGGCCACTGGAATGGGCACTGGCTCGGACCGTAACTTGTCAGAGTGGCCGGTCGGGCTGCAGAACATTGGCAACACCTGCTACCTGAACAGCTTGTTGCAGTTCTACTTCTCTGTTCGTGGGTATCGCGACTTGATCCTGCACTTCGAGGATTTCAGCATGGACCTAAGCGATGAGAACCTGAGCCGAAAGAAAGTAGGATCCCGCAAAGTTTCACGGAAGGAGGTCGAGCGCTCTCAGCAATGTAAGTGCTTCTCGTTCTGTTGATCTAAGCCAAAAGCTTACCTCAGATGACACAGTCGTGAAAGAGTTGCGGACCTTGTTTTCGGAAATGATCACGTCTCCGTTTCCTTACGTCACACCAAGTCAAGAGCTCGCGCGGTTGACTCTCATTGGAACATCAAATGAAGAAGCCATTCGTCGCCGCTCTACTATTTCGACTTACAGGCCCGCAGCAGCCCTGGGCGAACTCGAGGGAATGCCCATTTTGGGCCCTCTTGGACCTCCGCAGCCCACGCAGGAAGAACAGTCCTCTAACGCAGCCGCCACTGATGTCCCACCTGAACAAACGACTGCGAAAGAGACGCAGCAACCTCATAATGACGACAAGGAAAATGAACCTCCTGTTGACACCACGATGGAGGACGGACAGAAAGTGACCCCGGAGCCCTCGAGCGGTCTTGTTCCTGCAGAGCAACCCGTGATTGCTAGCCAACCACCACCAGTACCCCCGCGACCTACCCCGGTCATCGATCCCCAGAGACTACTACAAGAAGAATTGGAGATTGGGGCCCAGCAGGATGTGACGGAAGTGATCAATAATGTGCTGTTCCAGAGCCAATGCGCGATTCGACCTGTTGCACACTCTTCCGATGGCGAACAGATTGACCAAGTGAAGGAGTAAGTTAAATAAGTGCAGACTAAGATATCCTCGCTAATAGCTCCTTCCTCCAGCTTGTTCTACGGCAAAACTATATATTATCTCAAGTCCGAGCAGGGCGTTCGTCCGATGGAAGAATGGTGGTGCGACATCAAAGTCGATGTGGCATCAGGTCCACGCAACATCTATGCAGCGCTTGACGGAGCGTTCGATGTGCAGAAAGTCAATGTTGACAATACCATCGCCGAGCGATTTGGTACTATTAGCAAGCTACCCCCAGTGCTCCAAATCCAGGTCCAGCGCGTCCAGTTTGACCCCCAAACGAAACGCTCCTTCAAGTCAACCCATCATCTCGGATTGGAGGAAACCATATACCTGGACCGTTACATGGATACTAAGTCGCCTGAAATCATGGCAAAACGGCAGCAGAGTTGGGAATGGAAAGCCGCACTGAAGGGTCTCGAAGCTCGGCAGTCAGATTTGTCACACGGTACCGTACGTTTACCATTGCCTCCCTCCTCAACTGAGAAAACATACTGAACACTCTCGTAGGAAGATAGCAAGGTCGATGTAGCGGGGTTGCTCGACGAAGCCAGCAGGATTCTTTCCGATCTCGAGAGTATTGCAGAAGAGACAAATTTCGTCGAGGATGCGGGGCCGTCGGCCAATGTAGAGGCTATGAATCCCGCAGATCGTCTCGAGGACGCAGACTCCGCCGACCACTTGTTTGATGTGGATACCAGAAAGCTTTGCGCGGAGGTCGATCGGCTCTCTCAACTAGCCCGTGCTGAGTTGACGCGTAAGTGCTTCCTCCTTCTCTTTGCCATGTCGTCTTTATCACATTATCCGCGGTGTCTCTGACTCCCCAATAGATGTCCAGGACGAGATCAAGAAGACTCGAGCCCTGATAGCCGACCAGTTTATTGAAAACAAAGATGAGGCATACAGGTTGTACGCCGTGTTCATTCATCAGGGCTCTGTTGAGTTCGGCCATTACTACATCTACATCTTCGACTTTGATCGCGATGTGTGGCGCAAGTACAATGACCAGGAGGTGAGCGAGGTGCATAATGTGGATGAAATTTTTCGAGACCAGGGCCAGTCCAACCCTCCCACGCCGTACTTCCTCGTCTATGTCAACGACCGGATGAAGCATGATCTGGTCAATCCCGTGCGCAGGGAATTACTCGAGATGGCGCCGGAGAATGGCTTTACTGCCATGGGAGAAGTCACGAATAAGGTCCCATCGACCGAAGATGTGGATATGAACCCGCCGTCATATGATACGATTTGGGCCGACCAAAGCATATCAGGTACGGGCGCCGACCACCCCATGAAGGAGGAGAAGGATTCCATCGAAGCAGGTTACAGCACTCATCCTGACTTACGTGACGTGGCGTGGTAGACTCCGGGGATCCAGCGCCAGGGCGACAATCCACGCCTAATCCCTTGAAGCGCAAGGGTTTAGATGATACGATGAGCGGAAGGGTTGAAGGGCGTTTTGAGTAACGCGAAGGACACAGCTTGTCAATATGGATTGCATTGTGTTTTTTTCCCTTCGTGGGGCAAAGTGAGGAACCGTCTTGCCAGAGCTAGACAGTTTGATTTTATCAGTGGGTGGATGGGTGCTTCCGTCTGCTGCAATGTTTGTTATTCTGCGTGGCACTTTCGATGACATAGTGAAATGCTGCCATGCAGAGGGTGATTGTTTGTGTTCAGTACGATATTCTTTGCACATGCATCTGGTGGATTATTATGTATGCTTTACTGTAAATAGTTAGTGCGGTTCAGCGTCACGACTGGTTGATGATGGGGACGATGTATACACCCAACACACATGGACACACTTGAAGAAAATCATTCAGAAGACTTCGATCCTGCTTAGTCAGGGGGCCGATCCGATGGGGGCCGCGGCTCGGAATCGGACCCGATGCCGACCCTGCTTGTTATTGATCAACTATGGAGTAGACAATGAAGACCAAATTGTTTAGAGTCAAATTGCAAATGCAATACTCGCTTTGACTCTAAAGACTCGTTGTACCTAGTATTATCCAGGACACACCAAATTGGTCAAGTGAAAGGCAGTTGTTGGCCAGACTCCGGCTCCAAACTCTCCAGTGCGGAGACCAGCCAACTAACCGTGGGACTAATCCATGCGGGGGAAGGGTTGGCATTTCTCAATCCGGGGAAGACGGCAGCAGCGGGCAGCGGCTGTCTTTCCGCATCTCCCCGCCTGAAGCCGTTCGCTGCCTTTCTTGACCCGATAAAAGGCGAAGCTTCTCCGCTTCTCAACCTCGATTCTCCTTCTCTTGTATACCTTTCTTACGTCCTGTTTGATACTCTGATTTTGCTACCTCCTCTCCGTAGGTGACTGCGAGTCAGGATATCCATCGATTACTACAGAGAGTGTATCCCCTCACGGCGTTCCCCGTGCCCACTTCCCCTCATACTGCCATTATGCCTTCTCAACTAGCTACGGGCTTGCGCTTTGCGCGGAGGCTCGGTACCGGACCCAGCAAGGTAGGTTCTCAGCTTCTTATGTTTTATTTCCCACCATTTACTAAGAATGTTGGTACTCGTCTAGCACCAGCGATTTCTTGCTCGTGCGTTCTCACACAGCATCCGTCGGCCAGAGATCAACAAGGTAGTCTCTTCTGCCGATCTTGCGATCAAGGATTTGAAGCCCAACTCAACGGTATTGGCCGGAGGCTTCGGTCTCTGTGGTGTACCGGACACTCTGATCAACGCGGTGCGGGAAAACCCGGCCATCAGCGGCCTGACCGTCGTCAGCAACAACGCCGGAGTCGACGGATCAGGACTGGGCCTTCTCCTCCAGTCCAAGCAGATCAAGAAGATGATTTCCAGTTACGTTGGGGAGAACAAGACCTTCGAGCGCATGTACCTGACAGGCGAGATTGAGCTGGAATTGACCCCGCAAGGCACCTTGGCCGAGCGGTGTCGGGCCGGTGGAGCCGGGATTCCGGCGTTCTACACCCCGGCGGCCTGCGGCACCGTTGTGCAGACAGGAGAGCTTCCTCTGAAGCACAACGCCGACGGAACCGTGGCCCTGTACAGCCATCCGCGGGACGTCAAGGTCTTCGACAAGAAGAGCTATGTGATGGAGGAGGCGATCAAGGGCGACTACGCCTTCGTCAAGGCGTGGAAGGCCGACAAGCTGGGCAACTGTCAGTTCCGCTATGCGGCGGCCAACTTCAACGGCGCCATGGGCCGCAATGCCAAGACCACGATCGTCGAAGCGGAGCACATCGTCGAGGTGGGCGAGATCGAGCCCGCGGCGATCCATCTGCCCGGGATCTACGTCAAGCGTGTGGTCCAGAGCACCACGCCCAAGAACATCGAGAAGTTCACCTTCGCCAAGGAGGAAGGTGCCGAGGAGGCCGCCGCGCTGGGCAAGGGCGAGACGGCCGCGAAGCGCGAGCGCATTGTCCGGCGCGCGGCCAAGGAGTTCAAGAACGGCATGTACGCGAACCTGGGAATCGGGATGCCGATGCTGGCTCCGAACTTCGTGGATCCCTCGGTTGAGGTCATGCTGCAGTCCGAGAACGGTATTTTGGGATTAGGCCCCTACCCTAAGAAGGGACAGGAGGACCCGGATCTGATTAATGCTGGTAAGGAGACGGTGACGCTGTTGCCTGGCGCGGCGTGCTTTGGTAGCGATGAGTCCTTCGGCATGATCCGGTCGGGTCGCATCGACTTGACGATATTGGGCGCAATGCAAGTCAGCGCAAGGGGTGATCTGGCTAACTGTAAGTGATTTCAATATATCTGAAGATGGAGATGACGAAGCTAATCACTTCGGGCTCAGGGATGCTTCCAGGCAAGATCAAGGGCTTTGGTGGGGCCATGGACCTCGTCTCGAATCCCTCTGCGACAAAGGTGGTCGTGACCATGGAGCACACCGATAAGAAGGGAAACCCTAAGATTGTCAAGCAGTGCGAGTTCCCCTTGACTGGAAAAACTTGTGTCAGCCGCATTATCACCGAGCTGTGCGTATTTGATGTCGACTTCACCGACGGGTTAACGCTGGTCGAGCTGGCGGATGGAGTCACCGTGGAGGAGGTGCGCAGCAAGACCGAGGCGCCCTTCAAGGTTGCTGACGATGTGAAGCCCATGCTGTGATTTGTTTCTATTGCACCTTTTCTTCGCAGCTGGATTGACAGGGTTGGATATAATATGTGAAATTGCCTGACAGGTTCAGGGCGGAAGATATGGATTGTACTGTACATAGATGAATAAGATAACGAAATATCGCGATTGCATTATAGTTCAAATTCCATCACTTTTGATTGCTGCGCATCATTAAAGGTTCACATATATATACAAGTTTTGTTGCGCCATAAGCCATAAAGTACAGTACAGTAGTTTTCATCGCATTCCCATCCCCTTGTTTCGAGTTTTCGAGTTTTCGAGTTTTCGAACTTCTCCAAAATCGAACTCCAGTTTCTCCAGGATCGATACAAGCCCGAACGCAAGCAAGCATTTTCCAGCCAACACAACCCAACCCAACCCATCTACCAAATGCTCCCCCATGTTATTATAATCCCACAAAGCAAGAGTAGAGTGCTGTGTGCCGTGCGTCATGCCCAAGGCCTTTTCGCCATAATCGCCCCAACCCCCCGACTACCTCTACCCGTCCATCCATACCGGTTCCCTCTTCCCCCTTGTACCCTATCATACAGCAACCCACTGGAAAAAACATAAACCCCCAACAGGGTAAGAAAGGGAATAGGTGAAGTCTACTTCAACCGCAACATCCCCACCACCTTCTTCCGCAACCGGCCCAACCAATCCCGGTCCGGCGCCTCGTCAAACTCCCGGATCACGTTCTCGTAGTGCTGCGGGTTACTGGCCGGGTGGCGCAGGCGCGGCGGCAGCGGGTACCGGCGGGCGTACTTGTCGTTGAGGAGGGAGGTGAGGGCGTCGAGGTTGGCCTCGGAGAGACCCGGTTTTTGGGTCGTTTGGGCGGCAGAGGAAGAGGAGGAAGAGGAGGAGGAGGGCGACGACGGCGATTGCGGCTGCGGCTGCGGCTGCGGGAGCCGGGATTGCAGGTACGCGTGGATGGAGACGGAGGCCGGGCGGACTTTGTCTTTGGGCCAGTGGGTGAGGAGGTGGGTTATGCGGGCTGTTGTTGACTTTTTGGGGGGTTAGTTGGGTTTTGAGAGGGGGAGAATGGGACTGGGATTGGGGTTGGGGTTGGGATTGGGATTGGGGGGAGACAGGGTGGATGGTGGATTGACGTACTGGTGTTTTGGTGGCCATTGTTTCTGTGTAGGGTTGCCCTTGGGGCAATGGCTGGGTGGTTGAGGGTTGGACTGGTGGTTGTGAATTGGTGGAATTGGTGTAGGGATGGTGGAGGTTTTGGATGGCAGTCAACTTGTTAATTTGCGGGATGAGGTTCTGGATGGGTTTGGTTGGATCGCGATATGCAACTTTTGTTGCGGAGCTGCATGTGCTTATGCTCGTTAGTCAGGGATTAGTAAGCTACTTACATATATTCACCAATCTTCTACGAATTTGGGACGATATATGTGTCTGGGTTGGCTGGGAGATAGTTTTCTTTGGGGGATGTTAGATCTTCTTTCTTTCATACTCATTATTAAAGGTTAGGAGCTGATGCTGGTGCAAGTGTTTCCACCATAGTCTGCGTCCGCTCTTGAACAATGCAGCAATTAGGGTAATCTATTCCGAATATGGCAATGTGATTGGACTACCTACCTTAGTGTAAGTATAGGAATCAAAGCTTCGCAATCAGAAAGTATATGCATTCCGCAGCCCCTAATCAATTCTCAGAGACAGCACTTCTGATCTTCTCCTGGAAGTCCGGAATAACCTCATCGTCGTCAATCTTCAACCCCCTCATCACCCCCGCCAACATCGCATAGATCCCCGTCATGACCAACACCTCCACCACTTCGTCCACGTCCAAGTGCTGCAGAGCTTCCTTCACCGTGTCCGGCTTGTTGGTAGTTCCCTTCAGCTGCTCATCTACTAGCCGCAAGATCGCCCGCTCCCGCTCACTCCACGGGCCTTTCCCCTCGACCACGTCCTGCGCCGAGCACCCCATGGCCTCGGCCTTCTCCGGGGGGAAGCCGAACGCCTCGGCCACGGGAACGTTGACATCCCACTCATACTTCGCATCGAGAGCGCGGGACACTCGAAGCACCACTACCTGCCAGTCAAACAGCGAGAGCTTCCGCTGCTTGCCGTCGAAACAGGCCCCCAGCAGGCCGCTGATGTGGGGGAAGAGGCCTTGGGAGTGAGCGAGGATGAGGAGGATGTTGCGCCGGAAGGGGAGGACTTTGAGACGCTCCTGGATGACTGAGGGTGCAGTGTCGGGATCCACGTAGGGGATGAGGCAGGTTTTGCGGTGGGGGTCGCTGTTCGGTTTTAAGGCCATGGTGCTTGGGCTGTTGGATCGAGTAGATTGCAGGTGCTCTCTGGTGGTTGTGGAGCGAACAAAGTCCCGACAATGTCCAGAGTATGGATTCTGGATAAAGATAAGATTGTATGATGAGATCCTTTAAACGGTCGAGTGAGGTTCGTGTTGCTGTCGACTTGGATCTTCATGTCTTGGAGACCATGGATCTCAAGTAGTTCTACCGTCGACTGCGCGGACATGTTTCGGGAAGCCATATTTCGTCATAGTTGATGCTGTGGAAAGTGCAGGCAAGATATCGACTGTCGAAAAATTGAGGTCAATAACAGGGTAACCTCGCATGGAGGCGAGCCATATTTGTCAGTCGGGGGCCATAAATGTCTGTGTGTAGTGGATGCAATTTGTCGCCAACTAGGTAAACGCGCCGGCGTCGTACAATTGACCTTCTTTTCCTATTCAGTACACACCTCATGTAAAAATAAGAATAAAAGTGTACACATTGTCATCATTAATTCCTGCATATGGTAGTTCACGACATACTCATGATCATAGCACTAATGCCGAGGAAGTATGTTGTGCAACCAACTCATGCTTACTGATTGGCTTCTGCCTAAGGCCCCGACAGCCTTGCGCCACCCACCCAGCGGTGCCTGAGTGCCTTACGCCCGTCTCCTCGTCATCCCCGATCATCTCCTTCCATTCCACTCCTCGCCATCCCATCTTCTCACCCCCTCCACATCCCCTTTGGGTTGCTCTCTCCCTTTCCTCCCGTCTTCTTTGTCGATCTCTCTATCTTGTCCGGGGTGTTCGTTTTGACTGTGTTCGATTCTTTCCTTTCCCTTCCGATCCGGTTGCTCCGCTCGCTCCGCTCATTATGAGCTCGCAGCGTTATCAAAGGGTATGCAACTCAAATAACACTTTCCCTCCCCTGGGCCTCGATCAGAAGTGGTAGCATTCTTTCTGCGCTCGTTGGGTGTGGTGGGTTTGGTACCATATCAGATAAACTGACGCGATGGGATCAAATGCAGGTTAACGCCCACGATGAAGACGACCACCTTCAATCTCAATCGTCCATCCCTCTCCGACCCAGCCCGACCCCGAACTCCCCTCCCCCTTCCTTTCGTTCTCGCTCATCCTCTTTCTCTTCCCGACGCCTTCTGCCCAACGATGACCCTCGCCGACACGATGCCGACCAGACCCTAGCCGATGCCTTCGGGGACGGCAGCGATTCAGAACCTGACGACGAGCCTGATGACCGTCAGCGGCTAATGCGGGCCCAGCCAGAACCCTGGGCCATGGCAGACAATCACAGCAGTGCGGCAGCAGCGAACACCGCAGCGGCATCCTCATCTGGAGGAACGGGCGCCAGCCCTGAGGCGTCCTCAGGGGAGATTCGCGGTACCGGAGGCATCCAGCGACGACCAACCATCTTGCCGTCCTTCAGCACCCCCAGCTCTGGAGCAAGCCGGGTGGTTACTTCGGCGAACGACGGTGTGTTCGCCAATCTGGCAGCCAAGCCCGAGCGTGGGGAGAAGAACGAGGATTTACCACCGGTATGTGATTTGTAATCCGCGCGCTGGGTTGCCACGGGAGGATATGTGTACTGACTATCTCTGATTAGTCCTACGAAGAAGCGGCAGCTGACGCCACCCCGCCATACTGGGAGACGACGATTTTGGCCCCTGGTATCTCTTCGGACGAGGTTTTCGTGGACGGGCTGCCGGTCGGCTCGATCTTCTCGTTCGTTTGGAATGCTATGATCTCCATGTCTTTCCAGCTGGTCGGCTTCCTCTTGACTTATCTACTCCACACCACACATGCAGCCAAAAACGGTAGCCGGGCGGGTCTCGGTCTGACTTTGGTGCAATACGGCTTCTACATGAAAGGCGGCAATGAGTCGAAAGGGTCGGACGAAGGCGGCGCCGACTATGTCACGCCTCCCGATCCAAACAGCCACAGTTTTGACCCTAATAATGTTGATGGCAGCACAGGAGGTGACGGAGGCGGTGGAGGCATGTCCGGCATCACCACGAGCGAATGGATTTCCTATGTGTTGATGATTGTCGGGTGGTTTATCCTGATTCGAGCCATTAGCGACTTCTTGCGAGCGCGACGTCACGAGCAGCTTGTGCTGCAGAGCCCTGAACGTGGGCTTAATGTGCCAATCATTGCGACCGGCGAGCGATCGGAGACGGTTGTTTAAGCCTGTCTTGGATTATATGGTCTTGGAGATGGATCACGGGCATATACATTTGGAAGGAGCATTGGCGTTCATGCGGTGACTGTCATTTCGTTTCTTTTTTCTTTCTTTATTTCTCTCTCTCTATCCAGACTGTCTGTCTGTCATTCCCTCGACATTCTTATGGCTTGACCTTGGATGGTTGTATCTACCTAGAGTGGTTTGATGGACGAATGGGGAATGATCAATGGCAGTCGGGACTGGAGGACTGTAGGTCCAAGGGCTTTTTTTTGTTTTGTTTTCTTTCTTTCTCATGAAGATATATTGTTAGCGAGATACCAAACACCAATCTGCCATCATCTCAATGGATGATCATTGTGTTGACTGTGTTGTAAGTTGTGAATTATTGTAGATTTTTCTGTATTGTTGCCCGTCAACTAGACGAATGGATGAAGGGGGGCTGCCAGGCAACCAAACAACCCGCCGAGTCCAAGCTCGGGTGTCTGCTCTCCCTCTCCCTCTCCCTCTTCCTCCTCTTCTGCCTCTTCAGCCACAACTCAACTAACTTTCTTCTGTGTAACCCAACTATCATTCTTTTCTCCAGACTATGTCCTTTCATTGTTATCCACTCTGAGATCTCTCTGATCTCTTTTTATTTTGATCCTCCCCATCCCCGTCTCTCGTATGGCTGCCCGATGACGATCGACACATCTTCTTGGCGTTTTCTCCGGCTTCTCCGCGCCTCTTATTTGCTTCTCTCCCAGCCTCTTTCTTCTTCCTCTTGTTCTTTGCCTTCTGGTGGTCCAACTCGATAGCTGCTCGGCCTCTCCTGGCTTGGATCTCTGAGCGCAATTGTCTGCGCAGTCCATTCCACTTCAGGACTTCGCCTCCACATCCCATGCCGAAGGTTGACGCTGCGGGGGAGGGGGAGGCTGTTTCAGGGCTGCCTCGAGCCCCCGTCGAGGCCCGCTCGCTATCTTCAATCACGGCCATCGCCTCGAATCCTCCCGCTTATCCCCGCAATCCGGCGCAGAAGAAGTTGGACCCCCTAGTCCTGTACATCGTGCGTGTACCTGGTAGTAGAGGTGGGTAAACAATGTGAACCATACAGACCCTTCCTGCATGATATCGGCAAATACCCCGCACTACACTACCACTATCGATCGCCTGCCGTCGAGGCTAGTCGTGCGACCCAGCCACCTACCTTTCAGTCTTGGATTCGCTTTTTTACATGGATGAACAACTGCTGACTGTCCTGTCTGTTTTGCGCCAATATAGATGTCTTCCTCACTCCCTTGAAACCCCCAACGAAATCGAGCGTATCGGCGGAGGCAATCAATGCCTCCCTCTATTACCTGCACGTCGCAACCCCCGAAGATGAAGCCCTTCTCCAGGAATACGAACAAGAGCGCGAAGAGGAGGCCCGGAAGCGCAAGGAAGCTCTCGGAGATGATGCGGACACCCCTCTTGCAGGCCAATCACATCTGGCGCGATTGAACAACGTCCGGCGCAAGCCTGTACCGGGCGGCGCGAATGCGGCTGCCTCGCCCAAGGCAGAAGCCAATGTCGCACCTCCTCCGCTTCCAGCCCATCCGCGCCCAACTTCATGGCAATCGCAGGAGCCTCAGTCCCCGCCACCTCTGCTGGATACCTTACAGCGTCCGTATCTCCCTTATCGTCCTAGCTTCCAAGGCACCGTGCCCAGTGAAACCTCGCCCGTTACCCCTCCGCCACATCTGCCACTGGATGATCGCGACAGCGTTCTGCAGCTCGCTGCGGGAGACCTTACAAATCTGGAAAATGCGCGTCCGCCTAAGCAGCTACCTGCAGCCCCGTTGGAAGATCCTGCAGGTAGTGACGCTGTCTCGATGAAAAGACCCAACCGGTGGAGCGCGGCGTTGTCGGGGTACATATCCCGCGGTCAGGAAACCTGGAAGGAGAAATACGAGGCATTGTCGTCCAGTCGCAATAGCTTAGACACTAGGCGGCCTCGAATTCGGCCTGAAATCCGGCCGCACTCGGCTCATGGGAGCCCCGCGCGCTCTTATCGAGGATCGCCTGCGCGAAGCCCAGGCCAGTCTCCAAGCCGGAGACCGCAGGAGCGTCAACCCCGCGATGCCCCCGGATTTCATATCACTCTCATTCGCCGCGATCCCACCCATGGCAGTCAGTGGAATGTCGCGACGATTTCCACTCCCCGCTTGGACGGTAGCGCCTTTGATATCGAGATCTCTACCCCGGGTTACAATCGATTTCTGGCGCAGGATGAGCCTTTCTCCCTTGCTAGTCTGGGGTTGAACCTTCCCAATACCGACGGACGACCACCGTCACTGGCATCATTCAAGCTTCCGGCTTCTATTCCGCCTGGCTTTCTGGACCCCACCCCAAGTCCCAAGCCGACTTCCGCCCCGAACAACCCTTCCCAACCTCGACGCTTCCGCCGCAAGCTCTGCGTCTCACGGCCATATATCCAAGACGAGCCTCGAGGGGGGTCTTTGGACATGAACCGCGCGGCGCTCGACCATGGAGGCAGCGGCAGTCCGCCTAAGCCACTTCCGCCGGGCATGTCCAAACTTAAGAGCGGCTACTACACATTCACGTCACCCTGGAACGGCATCTGTACCTTCTCCACCAGCGTCAACGGCCGCAGCTTGAAATGCAAACATATGATCCCCACGCCAGGCGCCCCTCATCACTCTCACAGCAGAAGCAACGACAGCAGTCATCATCACCCGTTTCCCTCCGCTGCCTCGACTGTGGCGCCGCCCCCCGAGACCCCCGCCGTAACCGTGGCTGAGATCCGCTTCAACACGCCCTTCCAAGCCGGTCACCTCCACCAACCTCCCGGCCCATCCCACGTCTCCCCCTTCGCCCTCAGCCAAACCACTCCTTTCCGGGACCTCTCCAATCCCCAACAATTCACCACCTCTCCCGGCGAATCCAGCCACCCCACTAACCCCGCCATCTCCTCCCCGCAAACACCAACCTCCGCCGCCTCGACAACGTCCAAACGCAACTCCCTCGCCCAATTCCTCAACCCAAACACCTACACCCGTCCCCGCGCCCGCTCTGGTGCCAGCACCTCGAGCCTTGGAGGTGGTGGTGGCGGTAGCCCGCACAGACATCAACACCATACCCGCCACCCATCCAACAGCAGCACCAGCAGCGGCGGCGGCGATTTCGACGATCCTCACCACCACCATCACCACCACCATCACGCCAAGCAAAAAGAAGAGGAAGCCTTCCTCCTGCGCCGCCGCGCCAGCGAAGACGAACGCCTCGATTTTTCCCTGGCCCGCGAGCGCGCCGGCGGCGGCATGCGCGGCAAATCCGCTAAGCTCGGCAAGCTGATCATCGAGGACGAAGGCATCAAGATGTTGGATCTGGTGGTCGCCGCTTGTATGGCGGTCTGGTGGCGCGGGTATTACTACTGAAGCTTGAGCTAATTCCGTTCAGTGGGACATATATTTCTACATGAATTAGATGCTTTTTTTGAGGGTCATTTCATATACTTCTGACTATTATTTGGCCCTTGTCTATATAGCTCTGTCTTTCAGGGAAGGCGCGGGAGGTTTCTGCTTTGACTCTGTCTTATCTTCTTGCTACCTACTGTTTTGGAACGAGAATTATCATATTCTCTAGTAGTGTGAGAAAGAGCCGGGGGGGGAGGGGCATCTGAACGGTGATCTCTTGAGGGCTTTGCTTGAGATTTGGGATTACTTTGGATTTTGCTTGTTTCTTCTACGTGGAGCTTTTCAGGTTTGGGATGAAGAAAGGATGCAAAATCCTGGGTCTTTCGATGACGTTACGTGGCGATTGATGTGTATAGTATAGTGGAATATCAACGGTATTTATGACTGATGAAGACGAATACGATAGTGGCTCGTTTTACAACTAATGTATCTGTCAAAGAACACTTTCTTTCTCGGACGAAGCACGAATTAGAAGTGGTTGATTACTGGGAATAAGACCTCGAAGATCGAGTCACCTAGATGAAGCACTCTCATCTATGATGAAACCGTACAGAGGAAAAAAAGTCCTCTGACAGGGAAAACACACGGAGAAAGTTGAATTCTGGTTTATTTGCATCTCAGAAGAATAGATTTGACAGTGAACCGCGAAGGTTTTATATTGTTGGAGGGTAATAGACATAGCATATATCGGGCAGATGACAGTCCCGGAAACGCCCGCGAGTTCCAGAACGACAACGGGCAAGTCGACGAATTTGGTTGGTAAAGGGGGTTCGAATCGACAGATATTACGTGGGAGCAATCGTGCCCCGTACTAGATCTCTTCTTTTTCATCTTCCATCTTCCATTGGTCATCCCTTGGTAGTGCAGTCATTGATGGTTCATGGATGATACCGGCAGCTCAGCGCAGGCAGCAACCGCACACACTCATTGCACATCCATGCCACGCTGCAGAGACGATTCCAGATCGTTCTGGTGGCCACCGCCCGCGGCGAGCGCTTCCTGGGGCTTGGGTTCCTCCTGCTTCCATCCGCCCTGCTGGTTTTCGGGAATGGGCACGTTCGTCTGCTGGGCAGCCTGCTGTTGTTGGGCCGCGGCGGCCTGCGCCTGCGACTGCTGCCGGACGGTGGAGCGAAAACGCACAACTTCGTCGTAGATCATGTGGCGCATCTCACCCACATCGTCGACAACCTCGAAGTGGAAGTCGAAAGTGGTGGGGCACGTGGGCTCGTCCGAAGCGTCGTGCCAGATGTGCAGGTACGGGTGCTCCAGCGCCTCTTCGACCGAGATACGCGACGTGGGGTCGAAAGCAAGCATGCGGTCCAACAGGTCGAGGGCATCGGGGTTGGCGTTGGGGAACAAGCGCTGGAAGGGGATCTTCGGCATGAAGGGAAGGTTGCGCACATATTCCTGGGCCCGGGGGGAGCCAATGCGGCTAAGGGTTTCCTCGTTGGGAGTTCCCAGGTAGTGCAGGATCTGGTTGAGCTGGTCGACATAGTCGCGACCCTTGAAGAACGGACGGCCTCCGAGCAGCTCAGCAAGGATACAGCCGACAGACCAGACATCGACTGCGTCCTGATATCAGCATCTCGCACGACATGGAAAGAACCGGATATCACTTACTAGCTTTGGTGTAGCTCTGGAAGCTCAGCATGATCTCCGGGGCGCGGTACCAGCGCGTGGCGACGTATTCCGTCATGTATCCTGCATTCTCCTCCGGATCGATCGAGAAGCCGCGGGCCAAACCAAAATCACAGATCTTCAGCTCGCAGTCGGCATTGACCAGCAAGTTACCGGGTTTCAAGTCACGGTGCAGCACGTTCGCAGAGTGAATGTACTTGAGACCGCAGAGAATCTGGTAGATGAAGGATTGGAAGTGGGCATCGGTGAGTGGCTGTCCGGAGCGGATAATAGCGGCCAAGTCGCACTCCATCAACTCTATAGGAGTGACCCATTATGTGAGCGAGCCCTTCAGATGCAATAATTGGGGTGGGGGAGCTTACCTTCGTATAGGTAGGTCTCGTTGAAGTTGTCCGGGCGGGGAATATCCATATCGTACAAGCAAGTGATCTGCAACAAGCTCGAGTCAGCGATTTCCCAGGAGTCTAGATAGCGTGAGAGCGTACATTACGGTGGCCTCGGAAGTGCTGAAGCAGCTTGATTTCTCTCAGAGCGCGCTTGGCCAAGATCTTCTTGCTGAAGACATTGGTGACCTTCTTGATGGCAACACCTTCACCCGTCTGCACGTTGGTAGCAGCACTGTCCGTTCTTAGTCTTCATTGCCCTTCCCGTTTGAAACCAGTTGAAAAGCATCACAACATACCAGACGATACCGTATGCGCCCTGACCGAGCTCCTTGGTGACATTGTAGCGCTCATCGACAATGAAGTCCTGGTTGAAGACCTTGAAGATCTTGCGGCCCTGCAGGTCGGACATGTTGAACTAGCGGCAGAGCAAGATGAGAGCAAACAATGAGGACAAAAAGCCAACGGAAGGAGGAGAGGATAGCAAGAGAAAGGGGAGAGAAGGGAGAAAGAGAAAGACGGGAGGAGGAGACGAAGAGCGAGTGAGAGTTGAGGATGGCGCGAGAGAGCGAGAGAGCGAGAGAGAGAGAGAGAGAGACAAGGAGGCTCAAAGGGGAAAGAGGGGGAGGGCGAGTTGTTCCGACCCGGTGGGGTACAAAGCAAATAGTTTGGAGGAAAAGGCAATAATGAGGGGGGGGATGAGGGGGAAACTTGCTGGTCACAAGTTTCCTTTCTACTCTTTCCTTTCTATCTGTCGCTATAACCTTGTTCTGTCTTTCTTTCAAAGCCCCCTTCCAGAGAAATCTACATCCCATCGCGGACATCCTCAATTATACGAGAGGCTCGCCTTACGCACACGAGAGAGCAACAGTGATACAGTAATAATAAATGCAGACAAGAACCAAGGATTGGGTGACTGACTGACCGTCAACCCGTCCAGAACGCCCCGCCAAGGAAGGGTACACTAAGACAACTAAGGCTGGCAATTGGCAAAACACAAAAAAAAAAGCCCAGGCCGACCGAGAAGGCCACGATATGCTCCTTTGACTCGCTAGCCTCGATCGCTGGATGGACCCAGTCTCGAGTCCTGAAACCCACCGGAGACCCAACCGCTTGCAGCAGACAGATAACCGCCTGTCTGCTTTGCTGCAAATGATGGAAGAGAGGGGCCGATGGAGACCAGCTGAAATGTGACAGCTCCACTGATTGGGTCGACGAAGCGCGCACCGTGCTGCGTGAGTAGTGAGAAGCAAGCAGCAGCAGCAGCAGCAGCAGCAGCAATAATACTCGTGATAATAAATGCATGCAGCCTGACTGCATCTGTGATATGGCCCCAGCTTCATACGGAAAAGAATTCTGCCTATCACGGCGGCCTAATTTCTTTATGAGCTCGAAAATGCATTACCTAGTACTACTGAACAGCCACTTCCCACAGGCACAAGGATTTTTCCTACCTAGTATGGCAGAAGATAAGCATTTCTGGGCCTAGCCGAAGGCAAGCTCCTAGCAACAATCGGAGGATGGCATGACTGCATTGGCGAGTCGCTGCATGCACACCAGCGATTCAGCCGCTCAATGTAAGATCTAGTGTGTGCAGCCCAGAACCACCACCTGATTTCCAATCAGCTTGAGAGCTCATAAATGGTATTCATTTGGTCTATTTGCGCTAAACTAGAATTGTAATCTAAGAAGTAAAAATCATTGATTGTCTGCTGAAGCAACAACCCAAACTACTTCCAACACTTCTAGCCTCTCCGGCTCTACCTGTCGCGTGTAGATCTGTCGCACCCGCTCGCGCTCTGCCACTGCAGTCTGCAGGCGGTACGAGATCTTGTTCTCATCATTCCGCCGGAGCGGTCCTAGGCTGAACGTGAACGGATCCGGCCCCGTATACTTGCTGTCATCCCATGTCTGCTCCATGGGCAGCGGGTCATCCGAGATCGTAGCATACTGGATTACCGAAAAGCCGTTCACGAGGTACCAGTCTCTCGGTAGAAGCCACCTATGGAGTAATGCTTCGTCGCCAGCGATGCTGGCCACCTTACTCAGAGCCACCATGTCCGCTTGAAACCAGGACTTCCAGTGGTGCACCGAGAGCGGTTGTTCCCGACCTGCCTCGTAGAACCCGGAGGCATCGCCGCGGAGATCCACCTGAAAGAGGCCCTTCTCCCAGGTAAGCTTCGTGTTCGTATGCGCGTAGATGCACTGCGAGAGCATCCGATCGCCGCCACTCTTGAAGACGTAGCACTCGTCGAAGAAAGGCTGCAGCTGCTGAACCAGAGGCAGCGAGAGGAAAATCCCCGCACCGCCGTATGCCATCAAACCCCCACTATACAACTGATGCAGGTCCTCCGTCATGCTCCCGACGTAATGCGGCTGCGTCGGGTCATATGTGGCCAGTCGGTCGACCAGCCTCTCCATCGAGGGGAAGAAGGTGTCATCATCGATCAGGACCGTCCATTGGGTATTGTCGTCCCGCAGTTCGTACAGGTACCGAACCAGATAGAACCACCGATCCAAGCGTTCTTCCACTGCATTCTCCCGGATCACCAAACGGATCCCCAATGCCTCCGCCCGTGCCAGTGCCTCCTTCTTGGCGGCGCCGGCACTGTCCACCACGGCCAGAATCCGCGCGTTTGTTCCACCGGCCCAATGCGCAAAGGCATCCAAAGAATCAAGCAGGCGCTCCATCGATGTCGCAACGCCGAAGACCAGGTGCGATGCATCGGGACGAGGACGCGGCCGGGGGCCCTGAATAGTCACGGCGGGCGCGCATCGCACGGCGGAGAGATCCTGCCGCTGCGCATCACCCTCCAGGGACACCGTCCGGAATTTTGGAAACTTGGCATCGAGGGTATCTGTGTACCCGGTGAAATTGTCGGACTGGTCCACGGCGATCTCTAATCGCGCGTACTCAATTGAAGACGTGGGAGAATATTGCCGCAGGAGGTCGAGATCCACGTAGCACGGGTTCGTGTAATCATTGGGAGACGACGACGGCTGGTTCAATTCATTGTGAGACAGGGGTTCAGTAGTGGCGGTCCGGCGGGACGAGGAGAGGAGAAAGATCAGGCATGCGGCGAGGAACGCGGCCGCGATAAGCAGGGAGGGGTGACGGTTGATTCGAGACATCATCAGGGATCAGACATGACGATGATCACCTCACTTTCTTTGTTCTGGGGTGTGGAGAAGACACCTTAGCACGGCAGAATTGTGTTTGAATGGAATTGTTGCAGAAGATTCGGAACAATTGCCCCAGGGGGAGGGAGGAGGAAGGAAGGGAGAGAGGAAGTGCCCTCTAAAGCTTACGTTGACATAGGTGGAGAGAGGGGCTCGGGTGGATCTTTAACACTCATAGAGGAATATGATGGATCAAGCAGTGCGCCAATGTTCAGGAGAAAGCAAAGACAGTTCTTGATATGAAGTACGGAGTACTTCGTAAACCGTACGAATAAACCAGCTCAGTCAGGGGTCCTGGCATGCTAAACTACCAGCATTCCGTCGCGTAAATTTAGCCTGGCATATAAGCATTTGCTAAGTAGTTTAGCCGGGAAGGACCCGACAAGGTAATCGCCAACAATCGAGCCATTGATAACTTCAGAGCTTCTCACAAACCGCACTTTTCCCAGGCTACGTACGCTTCAAGCAAAACATCGTCGTCAAAACTCCAGCTCAATAGCAAGACCAACATCCCCTCTTTAAATCTAGAAGCACAACCTCTTTCATCTTAGTCTGTCTTTCTTTCCTGCCTTGCATTGGCTCTTTATGCGAGCTAGGATCTAAAACTATGGTATATCGACACGTAAATCTTGAGTATTTTTAAGCAACTCACTCTACCAGCGAGCAGAATGGCAGAATTCTCCTTTACAGGGAGTTGACCAGTCTGCGCTCCTTCCGCAGACTGCGGAGCTTCTCACGGGCCTCTTCCAGAGGAACCATGATGCCCTTGTTCTGGGTGGCGGGGTCATCACGGTTACGGATGTTGACCGAGCGGTTTTCCTTCTCTTGGGCACCAACAACTAGAATAACGGAATTAGCATAAGTGAAGGAGAGAAGCATAACAAGACCGAGAACATACCGAAAATGAAGTTGTACTGCTGCAATTGTCCAGTACGGATCTTCTTCTGCATGGTGTTACCGCTGATATCAATGTCAACGTTCAGCTTGTCAGCGCGCAAGATTTGCTGCAACTCCTCGACGTAGTCGTTGACAGCGGGCATGACCGGGACGATCAGGATTTGACGGGGACTGATCCAGAAAGGCCACTTGCCACCGAAGTGCTCAATCAAAATACCAAGGAAACGCTCAAAGCTGCCGATGATGGCACGGTGGATAACAACGGGACGAGCGCGACCAGGACCAGGCTCCGTGGACTTGGCCTCGCCCTCCTTAGGCTCCTCCTGGGTCATCTGGGCCGTCTGCGTCTTCTCGTTGGTCATATATTCAAGCTTGAAGTTGATAGGAGCCTGGTAGTCAAGTTGGATGGTGGCACACTGGAACTCTCGCTTGAGGGCATCGGCAATGGTGATATCGATCTTGGGGCCGTAGAAGGCTCCATCGCCCTCGTCAATGTACCAGTCACTGCCCTTGAACTTGGTCATAGCAGCCTTCAGCTGCTCTTCGGCATAGTTCCAGGTGGCAAGCTCACCCAGGTACTTCTCCGGGCGGGTAGAGAGCTTGAGCTTGAAGGTGAAGCCAAAGAGGCCGTAGATGGACTGCAGGAAGTCGAACAGACCCTCGATCTCGGACATGATCTACGCTGAATTAGTTCCATTGTGAAATGACGGGAAAGCTCGTGCCAAATCCTTACCTGGTCCTGAGTACAGAAAATGTGGGTATCATCCTGCTGGAACTTGCGGACACGGGTGAGTCCGCTGAGAGCGCCGGAGGCCTCGTTACGGTGCAGGACACCGAAGTCCGCGATTCTCAGAGGAAGCTCACGATAACTACGGTCACGGTGACCAAAGAGCACGAAGTGACCAGGGCAGTTCATGGGCTTCAGCGCCCACTCTCTCTTCTCGACGTCCAACTTGAACATGTCGTCCTTGTAGTGCGCCCAGTGGCCGGAAGTCTTCCAGATACCAACATCATACATGTTGGGGGTCTGGACCTCCTGGTAGCCACGCTTGCGATACTCTGAGCGCAGAAGGGACTGGAGAGCGTTGAAAATCTTAGTACCGTTGGGCAAAAGGAAAGCGCATCCAGGAGAAACTTCGTCGAAGAAGAAAAGCTCCTGCTCCTTTCCGATCTTGAGGTGATTGCGCTTCTCTGCCTCCTCGAGGAACTTAAGGTGTTCGGACATCAGCTTCTTGTCGGGAAAGGCAACACCACGGATGCGCTGCAGTGAGTCGTTGGTCTGGTCGCCAAGGAAGTACGCCGAAGAGTTCTGTGAGATATTAGCAATAGGCCACTATGAGATCGAAATACTATGACCGCGACATACCTGCATGATCTTGAAAGTCTTGATCTTGCCAGTGCTCTGGATGTGGGGACCCCTACACAAATCGACAAGGGTACCGCACCGGTAGACGGTGCTCTTTTCGCCGGTCACCAACTTGTCAATGTAGTGAAGCTTGTACTTGCTGTATGCGAACATCTTCTTGAGGTTCTCCTTGGTGACCTCCAACCGGTCGAAGCTCTGCTTCTCCTTGAAGATACGAGAGGCTTTGTTGTCCAAGGCCGACCAATCAGTCTCCCTGACGACACGACTGTTTCGCAGTTAGCGTGGAAACTCCTAAGGGCAAGGCTAGATGAACGTACCCATCGGGCATGGCCATATCATAGAAGAAACCCTGGGGGGTGGGGGGACCGTGAGAAAGAAGACATCCGAACTCGCACTCACAGGCCTCTCCCAGGGTGTGCGCGCTGGAGTGCCAGAAAACCTCTTTTCCCTCGGGGTGCTCAAACGGCACATAAGAGACGGTACAATCACCCTCGAGCGGGCGACCAAGATCCCAGAGTTCCTTGTCCACCTTCGCGATAACGATGCTAGCGCTCAATTCCTTGGGGACGTTCTTCAGAAGCTGGGCGGGGGTGGTCTCGAAGGCCTTCGCGGTGACATTGGCGGTGTTGCCGTCACCAAGTTCGATGGTGACATTGATGTCGTTGTGGGGCTTGTTCTTGAGCTCTTCCAAATATTGCTGCCACAGTTCCTCGAAGAGGTTGTTACGTTCGATGATAAAATCGGGAAGACCGTTGCCTGGCTCGTTTACTGATTAGGAGGGCTTCCGATAACATGTGGCGGGGCAAAAATGTTAAACTCACCAGCAGGTTTGGCGTCGGCAGCAGGCCTGACAGGCAGATCTTTGGAGCCCTCGGAAGCCATAACTGTAGCCCGCAACGTCAGAAGGTCAATCTGAGAAGAGGTGTACCGACTATTGAAGAGGGGTAAACCAGCAGCGGGATGGCTCTTCCGCATCGAAATCGGACGATCATGACTCAAAAACCGAGACGGAGGGAGGGGGGGCGGTGAGTCACGTGAGTTAGAACTGCCCTTGCGGCTAGCGACACTTGCCGCTTCGAGGCTTCCCACCATTTGAAAACTTCTCCGGACTCCGGATTCAGGTCGATCAGAACACCCAGCAATACAACATGTCTTTCCGGGGCCGTGGTACGGGCGCCAATCGTGGCGGTAGCTTTGGTGGTCGTGGTGGTGAGCTTTCAGCCAGAAGAGCATGGGAGAATTGATTGTCGCGTTGAGGATAGGCTGACGAAATTTTCTTTGGATAGGTCGCGGAGGCTTTCAGCAGCCTGTCGGACCCCCGGCGCAGGTTTTGGGTAAATATGCCGCCACAAAACAACCAAACTCTAGTCACTGATGGATTTGCTACAGAGATGGGAACTGTCATGCATTCTTGCGAAGGCGAGATGGTTTGCGAATCGATCAACCCCAAGATTCCCTACTTCAACGCCCCCATCTACCTCGAGAACAAAGTACGATCCACTCCGATTATCGCTCCCGAAACGACACCATTGCTAACGAGACTTGCCCTTAGACCCCTATCGGTAAGGTCGATGAGGTTCTTGGCCCCATCAACCAGGTCTACTTCACCGTGAAGCCTCAGGAAGGCATTGTCGCGACTTCGTTCAAGGCTGGTGACAAGGTCTACATCGGCGGCGACAAGCTTCTTCCCTTGGAGAAGTATGTTACGACATCCATTGGGTACCATGCGAACGATGCTAACCTCGTGGCTTTAGGTTCCTTCCCAAGCCCAAGCCCCCACCGGGTATGATTCCGAACATATATGTGCATGAACAGATCATTGATACTAATACCCTTCACAGGAGCTGCCAAGCCCAAGAGAGCCGGCGGTGCTGGTCGTGGTGGTGCTGGTGGACGCGGTGGTCGTGGTGGCTTCGCTCCCAGAGGTCGTGGTGGCCCTCGTGGTGGTGGTCGCGGAGGCTTCTCCAGAGGTGGCGGTGGTGGTGGTTTCGGTGGTGGTCGCGGTGGTGGCCGTGGTGGTTTCTCCAGAGGCGGCGGTGGCGGTGGTTTCGGCGGTGGTCGTGGTGGTTTCTCTCGGGGAGGTGGCAGCGGTGGGTTCCGACGATAGACAGTGTCTGTCTGACCTAAAGTACTGTCTTATTACGGCGTTATGGGAAAACGGGAGCTTCTTGCAGGAATTTATTTGTCTCGATATTCTTGTGCATTCTCGGAAAATTGCTGCTTCTCGAAGTGCAGAGGCTGTGAGCACAATGCAGCCATTAGACCCATGTATTGCAATGATTATACCTGTTAATTCTACCTTTGTTTCCCTTGAATTGCCGCGGGCCCAGTATAAGAGAGAGATGCGATGTCTTCGCAGAATGGCGAGATCGAGAGTTAGTCCATGGGATTTCTAGAATGAAGTCAGCATGACTAATCTGGGGTTATAGCTCAGTGGTAGAGCGCTCGCTTTGCATGCGAGAGGTCTGGGGTTCGATCCCCCATGACTCCAATTTTTGCTCAACCTGCAGCTGGTCATAAACATGTCAGGTCGGTGTTTTTGTGGCATGGATTTCAGATGAATACTAATCATCTTTGGTTCGCCGGGTGCCAGGTAAAGATTGGGGACGGTATCGAGTCAAGGTGTATAAGATTTATCAGGCTGTGCAGATACATTGTTTCATACTATGCCTTCCAGACTTGTTTTTGCATGAGGAATGTGCTTGGCAAGGACACACATATGCGGCGAGGTCTGAGCATAGGGCAAAATCTGGAGTCACGATGATGGTTTTGTCTTTCTCATAGGAGCTGAATTAAGGAACTATTACTAAGCTGGGGTTATAGCTCAGTGGTAGAGCGCTCGCTTTGCATGCGAGAGGTCTGGGGTTCGATCCCCCATGACTCCAATGCTTTTTTGCTTCTGATCTATGATGTGCTTTAATTGATCTTTGTTTTTGCTTCTCTAGTCTTGGATAATTATTTGGTCAAGCCCAGCGTAGGTTGTGGGAGGTAGTTCGCCGATATCCAGGTTTCAACCAACCACAGATTGGTGCACGTATGACAAGGTCAGATTGTCACAAAAAATATAAATGTCGCAATTCTGGTCCGTGGTAGCAATTCGACAGTCAAACTTTAAATAATATTTTATTGATAGCCCTTTGAGATCCAGGAAAGGCGGCTAGGTGCAAATCTGGCAAAAAAACAATGGAGTCATGGGGGATCGAACCCCAGACCTCTCGCATGCAAAGCGAGCGCTCTACCACTGAGCTATAACCCCAGTTATATTGCTGTAAGTGCACTAGCTACCAGCCAGATCCACTTTACGCAGCATTTGTCGAAGGATTGTTTGTGGCGCAAATTCTGCAACGTATTCCGGTAGTTGGTAACAGAGGCTGTGTGTGGCGCAGACCAACACCGCCTTGCAATGACGTCTAGCCACGCCTAAGCGGTCAAAGAATTAATCTGTGCGCCTGTCAACACTCCTTCATCGATAACTGGTTTCCCATTGCATCATTCCCCTTCCATTCCCCACGGACAACCTCCGCATATAACCAAGCTTCTCCCGTTCGATCTCTCGCCCTCACCTCAGTCTCTTTATCAATCGAATATTTGCAATTTGAGCATGTCTCGGAGGACATCCACCATGCCGTCGAATACGTCTCAGAATAGCGGTGTCCCACCTGCGGGTGATGGAGGTATGCTTAAATCCTGGTGCCAGTCTGTCTGCGACAAAGGATGCTCACGTTGTGTTAAAGGGCAAGAAAAGCAAAAGATGCTCCTTTCAGCAGAAACGGGCCATTTTAGCATGGTCAGGTTAGCATCCCCGACCCTCAAGCTGGTTTCTTCGTCCTTGTACTCATCTGCCATCCTTTACCAGAGCTTTACATCTCGCCGATCTTGTGACTGAGCTGAATGGTAAGGAATCAGGTGTCATTGGAAAGTGATTTTTGAGAATTCTGCTAAATTGTATCAATTAAAGGATTCTGCGGAGGCAAGCTACACCCCAGCCCGAGAGAGAACCTGCGACCTCATACTGACTGTTTTAAACAGTGATGTCTGTCTTCTCGTCAATGCGCTACTGTCTCGGGGATCCCACCGATTATTCCTCTCTCTGGGCTGCTCTTACGTTTATGCCTTTCGGGCTCTTCTTTGATTTCATGGATGGCAAGATCGCTAGATGGAGAAAGAAGTCTTCTCTGATGGGACAAGAGCTCGACTCTTTGGCGGATCTGGTACGTTTGTGGTCTTTTCTGATATGGGAGGGGGCTTGCTGCTGATCTTTTACTCTTGTGCTCTCCCAGATCTCCTTCGGAATGGCACCCGCCGCTGCAGCGTTCGCCATCGGCATCCGCACCCCTGTCGACCACTTCTTCCTGACGTTCTTCGTTCTCTGCGGATTGACCCGATTGGCGCGTTTCAACGTGACCGTTGCTGTTCTTCCCAAGGACAAGACCGGCAAGTCCAAGTATTTCGAGGGCACGCCCATCCCAACCACCCTATCCATCGCAGCATTTATGGCCTACTGTGTCTCTCAGGACTGGGTCCAGGACAATCTACCATTGGGCCTCGCGGGCGAAGGAACCGCGTTCGAGTTCCACCCCCTTGTGCTTCTTTTTGTGCTACATGGCTGTCTAATGGTCAGCAAGACGCTGCACATCCCCAAGCCTTAGAGGAGGTTCGACTTATGAAAATGAAAAGCTCAACAGACGCGCGTCCAATCTGTCTGAGCCGAGGTTTCCATTTCTTGATAGAGATGTCTTATTAAATGAGCATATATACTGAGGGAAAACCTACGTCAAAAGTGGACATCGAAGGATTTTTGGAGATACCGTTGTTGTTGCGACAAGTCACATTCTACTGTCGCATTTCGCATTTGTCTGGTGTTGTTGATAGTAAAATCAGATCCGAGGCTTAGTGCAGCCATAACCTTCTTTTTCTTCTTGGGCTCAGACTGCCTCTGCCTGATACTGAAATTACAGTAGAATAGGGCCAAGGTATACCAGGTTCTCTATCGCCCCTGCTAATGCGGGATCCGCGATTGAACATACTACCAAGGCCAGCAACTGTTCCATCTCCTCTGCTGGACACGCCTTTGATTGTAGTTTCCATGGAAGAATTCACCGCTGGCATGTTCCGCGCGGACAATGATCCAGCAATATCCTGTCATGTTTCCCCCTGTAGATACTTCAAGAATATGCGGCCCGCTCGTCGCTTATATATCTCCGCCCGACCTTCACCGGCAACATAAAATAGCCCGCCGACACAAATTCATCCTACCACCAAAGCATCATTATATTTTTTTTCTCTCTCTTTACCTAGTAAGACATATTGACGCGATAACCCAATAGACCCAACCGCCGCGAGGACACGTGAAATCACCAGGCAGATAGATACACCTAAATTTTACCCTCGGTGCTGCCGATAGCTAAAATGATGGCAGGTTCTGTGATTGCCTGTCTACGTTAGCGGTAACTGCCTCGCATTATCACTAGATAGGAAGCCTTCTCTGGTCCCACAGTCTAGAATGGTCCACGGCCTGTTTCACTCTGGCCGTCGTCGATGTTGCTTTGTTTTTCTTCGCACGAGGGACTATTATCATGTGGGGGGATTATCCCCTGCGACCATAGCACAGCTCACGCGACTTTATTCTTATGATCAATGTCGTTGATTCTTGAAGTCGAGACGAGGCCTGATGTAGGCCTTGTCTCTGTTCCAAACCGCGCACAAATATACAATGGGTCTCTCCTACCCAGTCCGCTTCTACAGTCTAATATAGCTGGCTCATGTTACTGAGACGTAAACGCTCCGCCCCAGTCATTCGAGAATCTCGAGTTCTTTTCAGCCGTTGCAGACCGTCACAAGCCCGCCCGACCGTCGTCTGTCCGGGTCATGTGCCAAATGGCTTGCTGATGTCAATCCAGCGACCTAGATACTACAATGGGGACATATCGTTCGTCGTTCCCGCCCGGAGTTGCCCTGCAAAGTCAATCTTCTTGCCTGGGCCGGGGGGGGGGCTTTGTTTGCTAAAGATAAACAATGCTAACCGTGATCCACTACCTCGGGCCACGGGTGTTCATGCCGGCATAGAAACCCCCAGGTTCGTGCTGTTGTAGACGTGCGAGGCAAGTCGAGTTAGATTAGGAAGCTGGTCTGGCTTCAGTTTCTCTCATCGCAGGGCTACTCAAACTGACAGGTTCAACGCAGTGAGCAGATCACAGAGGCCCTCGAAGGTGTTTGCTTCACGCCGTAAATCGCATTTTACATGCCAACTCCGCAATCCGGACACGCGGCATACCATTGAGAAACCGTCTGGTCCAAATTCAGCCGACGACGTGCGTGGCTTGAACCGCCCGCAAAGAGAGAGTTCTTACGTGCAATTTACACTGTCAATACGCACACCGGACAAGCCGGATAGAGGCGGTTCATTCCAACGCCCCGGGGTTAGATTTGTTACTCGAACATTATTCCTATGAAAGGTGGCATAGCATGTAACTTATGGGCTATTGCGGTAGTGGAGAACAATCTTGATCTCACTGAACGCAGAGGGCCCAGACCTCACATCTCTTGTTTCCAATCTTACTTCTAATCTTTTGGTACTTTGCAAGAACAACAATGCTTTCAATTTGGAAAGGCCTGTTGCGGGTGTTGGTTGACACTTGACAGCCTGACGATGGGAAAAGTTCGGAGCGGCGAACATCTAGGGTTGGGGGTTTTGGGGCTAGAAGAGAATTCTCCACTTCGTCCACTCTCTCCCCCCTCCCCCTTCTTTCCTGCACTTAGCCGGAAGGGCTCAAGGGCCTTCAAGAGTCAGGGACTATTTTACCTCAGCCCGTCATTCCATTGGTGGCTCACAGGCATCTAGGATCAAAGAGGCCTAGTGAGAGAACTGTTTACGGATTCTAGTCTACCTTAGTTCGTGAGTCCCTGAGCGGTTTTTTTTTCTTCGGCCAGTGGTGTTGTTCTCCCCTTGCCGGTGGTGGCCTCGCCCTTCGTTCTCGCATCCGACTCACTGGCATGGGGTCCTGTCGTGCACGATCTGAACATCATTCCTCGGGAGCACGGAGTGGAATGTCGGGCGTGGCTGAGAAGAATGGAACTGTCAGGCAGGCAGACTTCGACTTACACACTATTTGACAGGGAATGTGGTGGGAATAGCATTCGAGAGAAAGGTGATTGATTGATCGCTTGCTTGCTGCTTTGGATTGCCCCGGGAGTTTGAGGCGAGCGGGAGAAAGTGTCTCGCAAAAACAGCCACCACGTACTCGGCATAATTTGGCCACAAGCAAGGAAGACAGCGGGAAATCATCGATTCTTCGTCACGAACGACTGTCAAGTGGACGGATTCGAACAGCAGCAGCAGCAGCAGCAGCAGCAGTAGAGGTAGCAGGCCACTCAAAGTATGACGGATCGACGGATAACTGTGCCCGAATTTTTTTCTCCTCACGACGTACTATAAATATCCTCGAGGGCAGTGGTCGAGGTCGGACGATAATCGGAGTAAGACATGGGCGGAGTCATTACAATACACCGGGTCTGAGAGAGGGGTGTGTTTGTTCTTTGTAGATGCCTCTGTAGTTGAAAGGTGTAGAGTAGTGTAGATTATCGGATACTGTGCATCATGAAACTGACTACAGTTCACACACTCAGTCAGTCGTGCGAAACTTTAGAAGAGTGAGATGGAAGAACATCATCATCATCATCACCATATTAATGAATGGTTAAGTCAGTTAAGTTATTTGGTGTACCATGGGAGGGATGTCCATCCCGTTTCAGAGCAGCTCATGACCAAACTGCAAGCCTGGAGTGGATTCGCACATGCCAGTCTCCGCCCGTGTTAGACCCAAAGGAGGAAAAAGTGGGAGTTGCCCCTGGACCCTCCCTTCGATCATTCGTCACACCCGCGGGATCATTTCCAATGTGCTCCGTACCTGGTACCTGCCTGGTACTGTATCTGGTAAGCTATCCGGTATTGACTCAGTACTGAAATAGATTACCACCCTGCTGTGGTGCCCTTTTCTATGTTACTGTATGTACTGTAGGGGGACGGGCTGCACGGCTGCATGGCTGCACATCCTTTGATCCAGGGTTGGTCTCCCTCCCGGTCCCAGAACCTTACCGTACCTGGTACCAAGCACCAAGTACCAACTCATTGTATCTGTAACTCGCATGTTTTGTTGTTTGTGTCCCTCACCCCTAGAGGATCCTCTTACTAGCCTGTCAGTGCGTCGCTTAAGGGCCTTTTCCACCATCGACCGACCCTCTTTCCCCTAGTCTAACCACACCCCCAAGTCCATCTTGCCGCCCAGCAAGCAAGCAGCAATTCTATTCCTATCCACCTAATCTAACTAATTATTAGACTAGTCCGGTCAATCACACTCGTTTCCTTCCTCGAGAGGAGTCCTTGAACTGCCTCGTCACTTTCCTTCATCCCCTTCTGCTGCTATTGACCCTAGACACTCGTTTGCTCTTTTGGGCCTCCACTACTATCATTACCATTTCATCCCATTCACTTGTCTCTTTCTTCTACTTTTCACACTTCTTCCTATTTTCTCCACCGGCTGCCTGTCACGCGTTGCTTCCCTAGAGCAACTCAGACCTCGACGCCTTCGTACAGCCGTTATTCCGCCAATTTCCGTTTCCCCAAAATCT